AACGCTTTATTCCATCAGACTTAATTCCATAAAATATTTCTGCGACAGAGTGCCTTTCTTCTTCTATGACTGTATAAACTGTTTATTGCTTCTGGGGCATCCAGCTGCACAAAATGATCCAAATTGAATAAACAAGTTAATTAAATAAAATCAAGAACTAAATGTTTGAATCCAAAACACGTAAAGAAATAAACTCCAAACTTACAAGACAAGTGTGATTAATATACATTCATGAATTAATTTACCATTTTTTAAAGTTGAATTCTTCTAAGCTCTAAAGCTGGGGGGGGGACACCTCATACTGAATTGCTCCTCCATTATAAAGAAGTAATCATAGACTATATGTTATTTTGTTTTACATCCTTATAAAATAGCCAGTGTCATTTGAAGGACATTTCTAAGAGCTTCAAAGTACAGTGAAAGCTAACAACATGGGTGGAGTTGACCCTTTACTCCTTCGGTGTTAGAGCCATAATCCCTGCTCACTGAGATATAGATGATGCCCTCTTGGGGAACCAGTCATTGGGTCTGCGGAGAGTTATCATAACCCCAGGAAGCACTTAGAGCCCTGAACTCTTGGCCTCAAAAAGCCTGTGCAAAGCAGTTTCACTGTGATGGTTCTCTTGGTGGCTTTGCGTGCTCACAGTATCTTAACAAAGCCTGGTTTCAAACCTCAATACATCTAAAAGCTTTGGGTGTTTGGTCAGATTCCAAGCAGAGTTGTTGTGTGACCTTCTTTTCCTTTCTGATATCCATTCTTCTGCTGTACCTACACTTGAGTATCGGCTAATACAGCGTAGCTGTATGTGGCACCACAAACATTAGACACAACAACATCACATAACCACATTCTGAATGTGTAAGATATTTACAGACTGATCTTCATGAACAAACATGTTAGAAAGCTTCTCATTCTTAATCTTACAAAGATGTGTGGAGCAATACAACTCTATTTGAATTTATTTTTCTTTTCTTTTCTGATCCATCAGAAACAATCTGATGGTGAAGGGACACAGCAATACTCGAAAGCCATACTTGAAATGGACACCTAAGATTATCCCAGTCTACTTAGTATTTGTATTTTTACATTGATAGAATAATTATTTTAGAATAAGTTGATACAACAGATTTTTGTACAGTGGATCGATTGGAAAAGGTGGAGACGTCCACTTCCTATCATATCGTTCAATAGGAGATCTAAGTACGAGCAACCTTAGAGTAAAACATTTTAGGCCAAAAAAAAAAAACCTCCACATTTTTTTTATTTAATATGATGAACAAGCATACTCAGATTTTCAACCAGTGGTGATATAGGCTACACAGACAAAATAAAAAAAACTCATATTACTTTGTGGGACTTATGGTATCACTCAATGAAAACCTGACTCAGACATCATTCTATGCATGTTCTACTTTTTATAGTCAATTCTTCTTACTGAAGTCTAGCTTCTTATCGAAAACATGAAATGTTGCTAATGTTCAAGAGTGAAATTGAATTAAAAATCCAAATCACTCAAATCAATTTAACCAGATTTAAAAGGAGGAGTTGGTCTTGTTTCAATCTGCTTTACGTTTTTTCTAGGACACATTTTTGCTATTTCAGATCCATCTGAGCCCTTAACCTACTGGAAAAAAGCAGGCACGGGTACAAACTCCTGGCAAATACCAAATGCCATAAAAAATCTGACGTCGTACTTTCTACTGCACTCATTGCGATGAGTACTTGGGACACTCAGAGACCAAGGCCAGGTCTTGCATGATGTGATACAGTATGCTGTTTACATAAGCATCAGCAGGGATGTACCCCGCGGAGAAAGTTTCCGAGTCAGAGTCGAACTACATGTTGCCTGTGAGACGACAGCAAATACAGCTGTAACAAATGGTTAATGAGCTCTGTGATCCAAATAAATCCAAATTCCATTTTTTTCTAATTAACAAAAGTTTTCAAGTTTCTTAGCAGCAAATCACACCACTCTTGATCAGTAACTTCATTCATGATCATAATTAATCCCAGTTACCTTTTATACGATTTAAATTTTTCATTTATTCATAATTTATCTTTATTTTTTAAACATTTATTAGTAGTCACGGTTAAGCTCCATAACTAATCAAATGTTAATGCATTAAAGTTTATTTCGCAATGTGAGAAATACTGCAGATTATAATATTTTAAAAATCTTTGGACCATTTTGGGGATTTTCCTGAATTTTGACTAGTGCTGTACCCCTCTTTACTATCATGATAATAGTTTCTATTATTATGAGTTGTTGTTTTATTTTTGTTTATGCATTGATTCTAAGATCTATCAACTCAGTAACTAATTTTACTGTTCAAAACGTGATCCTAGACGGTATAAGTACTGCCACATTTTTCCATGGAATCTTTCTCAAGCTTTCTCAATTTTTTTTTGTTTGAATTAAACATTTTTCCTCCTGTTTTTTGGGTAGACAGGAAGGTCAGACTTGTGTTTATTTTAAACATCATGTGAGATTTCTTTCATTTCTAGTTAGCAGAGATTTTGTTTGTTATTTTGGAGTACCCTGAAGTCATTGCTTCCATTCTATTAATTATCTTTCTAAAATACGTATCTACTTAAACATTTTATCTATTGTTGTAAAAAAAAAAAAAAAAAGAAAAGCAAAATAAATAAAAAATAAATAAAAAACAAAAATAAGATGAATTAAAAAGTGCGGGATGTGATATAAAGTATTTGATTTTGGTTTGATTTTGAAGAATGTTTTAGATATCATTAAATACATTAAGTTTTGATTATTTAAACATCTTTGTTTTCAGATGTTCTGTAAATTCACCACTGACGTTATCTTTAGATTTCATTCTTTGAAACTGAACATGATCTGAGTTTCCAAATAGAACATTAAAGGTTTTCTACCTTTTCTGTTAAGTTTTGGTATCTTGTATGTGACCTGTGATCTTCACATATGTTTTCTAACCACTCCTAAAACATTTTGATGTTATGTGGATGGTGTTAAAACGATGTTATTGTCTATCATGGGTGAAACTCAGAGGCCATGTACTTAAAGAAGGTAATTGGTAAACACCTCAAAGAGAAATTAAAATCAGGTTCAAACTTTTCTCTCTTTAAAGAAAAATAAAGCTAAATATTAAAAACTGGGGAACTGTTAGTACGTATTTTCATTGATTCATTCATCTTGATAATTTTGTGGACATATCTTTAAATTGTGTCAACCATCTCACAGTAATTCTACTTTTGGGTCTGTGAAGCTGTAACCTTATATGGGTGAAGTACCTAAGTAGTAGCAGATCTGTATTTGGATAGGAGCCAACTATATGTTGTCAGCAACTGTTTGCTAGACAGAGAGTCTACATCTGATACGTATACAAATCAGTGTCATGTCATCTTTATTGTTTTATAGTGATGTACCCAAATGGAAAGGAATTTGTGGGCTGTACCTTCTAGCAGAATATAAGCCACACTGTGTGCCATTTTGCCATTTTGCCCATGATGGCCACTTTGCCAATGATTGTCAATGATTGTGAGATCTTGATCAGCATGGGTCAGCGATGGTCTGCACTTGTCAGCCATGTGTGTTGTGTTTCTGTGTTGTCTGACCATGGCTGAAAAAGATGATCCACAGTCTGTTTCACGATTTTATAATTGTCCATCTCATACAGAAATAACCCCCACCTAACACTACTGAAACCTTGAATGGCTATGATTTACTTAAGCAATAATAAACCTAACACTAGCCTGTGCTTTTCTTCTCTTGTATCTTTTTCCTTTAAAAAACCTGCTTTAAAATATTGCAGTAATATCACTGTTGTGAAGCAGCTATAAACAAAGGTGATTTTCTTTCTCTGTGGTAGACACTAAAGTTTTATGAATCTTGAATATTTTAAAGCAGATATTTTAAAAAGCAAAAGATACAAGAGAAGAAAAGCACAGGCTAGTGTTATGGGATGTAAAGGGACCAGGGAAGTGTGAGTTCATAGAAAACACTATATGGCTGACAAGTCATATGGGACTTCTTTACAACTCTGATTTAGACTCTGCGACGTCTCCCCGGGATTGTGATGCACAAACAGAAGCTCTGTGTATTGGATGATGGAGCCCTAGTTTTACTTGGGCCCTCCTTAGCCAGTCTGCACTCCAGGAAAGCCTCTGTTTGACTTATTATGAACTCAAAATGGCTTCTTCTGACGTGTGTGTGTGCATGTAACATGGCAGTCGTGAGTAAACCAGTTGTCCTGAAGCTAAAATGGACACGCACATTAAGGAGCAGTCGCGCAGTGCCTGTGGTTTTACACAAATGGAGAGGGGTGCCAATCCGTCCCCTCCTGCTCCACACTCATGGCTTCCAGGAAGAGTTGTCATTCCGCTGTGTCACTTTGTCACTCACTCACTCCTCCTTCTCTTCTTCATCTAATTTCCACCCTGCACTCCTCCATCCATCATCAGCCTCCTCCGCCTCTGCATGGCCTCCACCTGTTCTCCCCTGCAAACGCCACCCCCCCCCCCTTGCTCCTTCAGAAAGTGTGTGTCTGTTGCTTGCACAACCCCCCCCTTGCCTGCCTTGACTTGTGATGTGTGGCAAGCCTTAGACAGACCCTAGCCAATGACGGCGACACGGGGAAATGTGGTGGGGACGTTGTTGTGACGTGGCTATGGGAATGGGGACAGGAGCAGCTCTGAGGGAGATGAGGAAATGTCAGTGTAGGAAGAGGGTCAGCACATACACACATACACACACTTGACTTTACTGACACTTCAACACTTTTACACACTTAACTGAATACAGTTCAAACCAGCACCGTTGACATTATCCAACTCCTTCCCCCTTTTTTGTGTGCCTACTCTTTCCCTTCATATTACTCTTTTTCTCTCCTCTTTTTATGCTTTCTATTTTCCCTCCTGCCCTCTCGCCATGTTTCACACTGTTCTCTTTTTTTCCGTTTCTCAACCATATCCCTTTCTTCCCTTTTTTTCCTCCCTCCCTGCTTCTCCTTCCCCCCTCCTGCAGAGCCCACAGTGAACCCATCCAATGCTGGCGTGGTGGCAGGAGCTGTGATTGGCTCCCTGCTGGCTCTCCTTTTGGTTGCCGCTCTCATCGCCGTGCTTGTCACCCGTAGCCGCAGGCAACAGCAGGGCTACCGCGCCAATGGCGGCGGCGACATGAAGACGCGCATATTCGGGGGCGGAAAGAAGGCCAGCAAGAACGGCACAGGTGGAGGCACGGGGAGCAGCGGCCTCGGAGGTGGCAACAACAATGGCCCAATCTACGTCTACAGCGAGAGCTCCTCCCACCAAGGCCTCGGAGAGAAAAACAACCACCACCAGCCGCTCACCATAGGGGGCCGGCCTGAAGTCGTTGCAACTACTCCCACGGCCCAGGACATCCTGCTGAGCAATGAATTAGACGATGCAGAGAGAAGGAAGTTTGATGAGCTGGAGGAGGATGAGAGGTATGACCACTTCTCTGGAGGGGCACCTATCCTTCAGCTTCGCCCTCCAAATGACCAGGACAATATGATTGGAGACTACATTGACGATGACATGGAGTCCCAGCGGGACGGCTCGGTCATCTCTCGGACTGCTGTTTACGTATAGAGCAGGAGGAGAAAGAACGGAATGGAGGAGGAGAGAAAAAAAAATGGAGTTGATGGTGGATTCCTCCTGAGGATTTTTTGGCTCCGTGGTCTTATCCATGTTTGATTGAAAAAGAGAGAATTATACCACTTTTATTTTTGAAAATTGATTTTAAATATAGCTGATTATTAATCACAGTGAAGCCCCCAGTATGGACAGAATGAACAGGAGGGTTTTGTTGGAATATTCTGAAAGGATCTTTGCTGTAAATTTGTCTCTTAGAACTGGAAGGAGAAAAAGAAAAAACCTGTCTCCCACTGTTTCAGCTCATGCTATCACTATCACTGGAACCTTGACAAGAACTCTTGACAGACAAAAGAGACAAACTGTGTAGTGTGGGAATAGGATAATGGAATCATGATACAAGCTTGGCTATAGAGGAGGCAAACACACTTGCAAATTCACTCTTATCTTCACCAAAACAGCGGAAGTGGAAAGGCTTGTCAAGCCAGATACATATTGCCTGCTTGTCTCAGTCCTCCTCCTGTGAAGAAAAAGTTTTTTTGTTCTGGTTCTGCGTTGTGCTATGACAGCTGCTGGCTTAGTTAGGAGCAGGTGATGGGAAGGTAACATTGGAAGGTATAGACAGTTGCCATCATGAAATATAGAAAAGCGACAAATGTTCCTCTTAAACGTAAAGAACTTAACAAAAGACCTAAAAAAAACAAAAAAAAAAACGTGAATTTGCTGCTCAAATAGAAGTCCAGCTGAGAGTTTGTAGAGACTTCTTAACAAGGTATTCACATACAAACTTTTGCAATGTGCCTAGAGGAAAGAGACGGTAAACAAAAAAACCAGGGAATGAAGTGTAGCTGATCTGACAGGGTCAGGGATGGAGAGAGGGATGCAGGAGACAGGAAAGCAAGAGAGAAGCACGTCTCTCCTTCTTCTCTTCCTCCTCATCCTCGTCTCCTCAGAGCGCTCCTGACAGGAGGAGCTTGATTGGTAATGAGCCGTGAAGTCGCTCGCTTTAGCTGGGACCAACAGATTGCCACCACTTATCGTTTATGACGTGGCAGTTTCCTCCTCCTCCCACCACCACTTCTATCTCTCCCTCTCTCTCTTTCACTCTCTCTCCTCATCCCTCTCTCCCGTTGTTTATGGGGAGTTTATGATTTATCCAGGGCAGTGTCGAGGTCAGGGCCACAGAGAGCAGGGGGAGTATTTTACTGCTCCTGATGTGTCAAGCGCCCCACTAACTCTACCCCAGCGCGGCCTGCCGTGACATGCAGGACTGACTAATCCACCTGGAGTGGCCATGCTCACTCCGCTGCATGGACGCTCCTGTCTCCTCTTATATTTAGTAAATGGCTGGCAAATCTGAAAACCCCTTCAACATAAGAACCATGGTTGCTTGGATAGATTTTCAATTACATCCTCTAATATTTCTTTCCATTAGCGGATGTTGCTTAATGTGGTGAATTGATCAGGAGATGTAAAAGGTCCAAATTGACGCTATGGGAGTCATATTGACTAACAGGCAGCAACTGGTGAAACGGTCCTTTATGATGCAGCTTCAGGGCAGATTGTCTCCTGACTGTTAATTTATCCTTTTAACGAGTCATTGGAGGCCTGCTAAGACAAATATTACTTGTGGCTACTGTACACAGCTTTCTTTTCAGGCTCCGTGTACATTTAACATGCCACACTGTGTTTGTGTAGCCTCTGATGACTGTGATGGACAATCTTTAGGAGAAGCTCTGTTGTAGCTCTTCTAATCATGGATTTTTCTGGCCTTCTAATCAGCTCCCCTTTGACCCTCTGGGAATCCGGTGAGAGCAGTTTTTTTTGATGACTGTACTGACCTCCTGTAAGGTCCAACTAAGCTGGGTTGCAGTTCGCTGCAGGTCATGAGGTCAAACACTGGGTGACCCATTGCCAAGGGCAAGAAATGACTGCGCCTGCATCTGCTAACATAGCTGCTTGTGACCTTGAACTTTGGATGTTAGAAACACTCTTGTGCAGTTCAAGTATCAGTCAGGGCAAGACTGCATGTGTTTGCCATTGTGATAGCAGTAAACCCTCAGAGAGAGAACGGGAGAGAAATGGAGGAGGCAGAGGACACAAGCAGAGAACGCTTTCCCTGTTTTAGCACCGTCTAGCATATTGTAAGTCAGTGTGTTCAATAGGATTATCGTCTAATGGCCTTAGCTTATACATAACCGCAGCTCCTGTCAACCTGGGGTACAGAAAATTTACAGAGCACGGCTGATTTGCCACAACCACTCAAACTTAAAATGTATTACTTATTTTTGCACTTGTATGTGTCCATCGATACAATGAGAAATCAGTGTAATATGTGGTTTTTGGGGTAAAAGTGGCAACATAAGGGACAAAACTGTTGTATGTAAATTTTGGTGTGAGGTATATGTGTACTATATATATGTAAGCATCTTTATTTTTCTTGTGAAAATGTGGATATTTATAAAAATGTAAATATCAGATCGATGGAGCCAGTGTTGTGGAAGTGAAGAGTAAGGCGTTGGTTGGAAAGTAAAAAAAAATAAATAAAAAAGAGTCTCAGAGGTCTTCAGAATGTAATTTTTAATCTCATGAAAACCTCTTTGGTTTGGTCGTGGTGGTGTTATAGAAGGCAAGTTTAGTTTATTTCTATAGCACATTTCAGCAACAAGGCAATTTAAAGTAGACAATACACACGACATCAAAAAGCATCATGACAAAGGGCAGAAAAACACATAAGAGGACATTCAAAAATCATTCCTTAAAAACTTAAATATCAAAATATAAGCAGCTTAAAAAGAAACTAAAATGAAAAATAAGTTTATATAAAAAATAAGTGACACAGTTATAGTTCAAAATCTTATTAAAATTAATGTATAAAAATCGTTTAATGACAGGCAGCCGTAAACGGGAGTCATCAACTTTTTTTGCTGAAGAGTTTCAGCAGACCTGCCGATTTCTGACAGTTGTTTCAGATGTAGGGAGAGAATAGATACTGAACACTTCTCCGTGTTTGGATCTGACTCTGGGGACAGAAAGCAGACCTGTCCCACAACCGGGTGGTCTGGATGGTTCATTGTTAATCAAAAGGTCATTCATGTATTTTGGTCCGAAACCATTCAGAACTTTAATCAACCAGCAGTTATACATCAAACTGATCTAACAGAGCGGAATTTATATAAAGCCTAAAAGTCCATTTATATTGCAGGAAAAAAAATATATAAATGCTCTCTTCTTTTTTGTTCGATTCCTCATTGTCCGCCTTTCCACATTATAAGCACAAAATGTTTTTTGCCCAATTGGCTTCTCCTTCTTGACAGACACTCTGCCAATGCAAAAATACCCACAATACTTATAATTTATCAGGTAGACCGTGAACACACAGGCAATGCTTGTTTTGCATCTGACTCAGCTGTGTGTGCGCGTGTGTGTACAGTGGGTGTCAGTGTGTATTTTGGTGATGCTTTGGGGGCTTTGGGACATCTCTCTCTGCCATTTGGGCTGTAACCTTAGTAGCCGACCTTTGTCACCATGGAAAACCTAGGGAAGTGAAGGTATTATTGTGCATTTTGGACAGCACACTGACTCACACACATATATACACACTATACACATATATACGCTGAATGCAGAGAAACATTCGCCCACACACAAACACCCCTCAGTCACTCTCATTATGCTCACTCCCACAGCCAAACTGTGCAGAAGACACCTCATACCTGACAACTCTGCCATCTCCTGACACAAGCCCACACGAATACGCTCGCATAGCTGCACACAAGTGCACACACAAACACACTTTTTTTGTCTTTTCCTTTTCTTGCTCAGTGGCTCTGTCATGACTTGTACGCAGTCCTGTTACTGTGGGAAGAGCCTCAGCATGATATGTCCCCCTGCTCTGCTGCTTTCTATTCCCCGCAACTTGTCCGACTACATCCAAATCCATGACCACGTAGTAGAACCGAGGCAGGTGCACACTTAGTGACACACGCCTTTCACCCAGTGTAAGAAAACACAGGCTTTTCAGGAAACTGTTTGTCCCCTCTGCATTTGTTCTACACAGGAAATGCAGATTTCACAAAAAATGCCCCTCTGCTGACCTCCATCCCCTTTCAGATCCCTTTGAATGCTTTTAGAGAGTCACAACTTCCCACTCACCTCCCAAATTGTGTTTTTTTTTTTCCACTCCAGTCACCTTCGCCACTATGACCACCTCCACAAACAGACACTGTTGCCACCCACCAAGTACAGGCCTGTCAGACAAATTGCTTTTAGAGAAATCCACGATCCATGTCTGGGTCTAGCACAAGGTTAGATAGTGTAAAAAAATAAATAAAATATATTTCACAAGAAAGGTGGCTCCAAACATCTGATGATTAATCAAAGCCTTAACATCTCCCATCTCACTTGCATAAAAAGAAGAAAAGGAGAAATCCTTCCTGTGTACATAGTATAAATATGTAGCAGAGAAAAGAATTACTAATTTATGGTGTCACGTTTGTGTATTTCTCAGTGACAGCAAGCATGAAGGATTTATTTTCTCCTATTACAGTTTCTCTTCTTCTCTGTTATTTTGCAGTGCTTTATAATTTATGTTTTCGGAGTGCTTTATTCTTGAGTGCTGCGCTGTGATTGCTGCCAGAAACTGGCAAAATGTGCTTCTTCTATACAAATGAACAGACACAGTCTTACCCCCAAAAATGTGCTTTTTTATTATTAGCATTATTGACTGCTATGTGTAACTTGTCTTTCCTTTTTTGTGTTTTTTAATTTTGAATTTATTTTGTTTGTTTGGAAAAAAAAAGAAATTGAATTCAAACTGTTGTCAACATTTTGTTGTGTCTTTCTATATTTTTTCGTATTTTGTTGCTATTAAAGATTTCTTGATTTTTAAAATGTTCCAGTGTGGCTCAGCCTGGTGTCTGTCCACCCCCCCCCCCCTTTCCTTGTGTCCTTCAACACTTAAGGTGAGCTAGAATGACCGAAGATCTAGATTGAAAAGAAGTGCAAGTCATTGATTCTCACTGATTAGATTTATAGATTAATTGATCGGGATATGAAGTGGCCTCTCTGTCTCTTGTCAACCATCCTTCACACTACAGACACACCACCCCTCCTCTGTTTTTCCCCCACTCTCATATCCTGGTCAGTCTGTTTGTCTCATTTCAGTTGTTATAAATCTGTGTGTGTGTCAACAGACCTGAGATAACAGGTTTAAAGCAAACTGAAAACAGGAATAGGAGATTCCATTTTGTGGATTACAATTGTCCTGCACTTAAGCTCTGCCTCCTCTGTCTGATTTGTGTGTGTCCTGGTTGGCTGATTTGAACTTGCTGCCTTGGTAACAGGTATGTAGGAGACTTCTGTACTTCTTTAAAGGGCACTTTTTTTTTTTTGACTGAGCATACAGCTAATGAAGAGAGATGATACAAAGCGCACATGCATGCTCTTATTTCAAGATGCATATATATATATATATATATATATATATATCATTAAGTTCAGCTGGGCGTCTTCGCCTCACACTGTGCATAAACACATACTGAGACAGAAAGGATGGAGTTGAGGAATGTGGTGATGTAGCTTCAGTGGTTTTCCTGGAGAGAGGCAGTTTGTGTTTTCAGTGGGGGAATGTGCAGGCCAAGCTGAAACTGGGTAAATGGAGCGCTGCTCAAAGGCTGCATTGTTTGAACTCGGACTAAACCAAACTGGTTTGGTCAAATTTTAACAGAAGGGCGTGCAGAGGGCTGTCTTTGTGTGTACAGGTTTGTGTACTCCACTGAATGTGTGTGCTCATGCATGCATGTGCACCTGCCTTATTTGGTTTACATGTAAGCAGCCTCTATGTGTGCACACCAAATGATACAATTCAGTTCTGCTGTCAAACTCCAAAACATGGCGAATAACAGTTTGTTTATGGTGGTTATGGCAGTGAGTGCTCTGTGTTTGCCTGCTGCTTTGATGCGGTCATGTATCTGTGTGTCATTCTGGCTTCTTGTCGCAGTTCATTTTTGTTGCAGGCTTCTTCTGTCAATGCACAGCTATTTACTGCGAGTCCAGCCTACCATCTGGCCCCTCTAATTGCTTTGGATTCGAGGCTGGTGAGATAGAGCGCACACACACACACTCTGACTCCTTTGGTTTTTTTAGTTGCATGTGAAAGACTCGAGCACAGCAGACAGGCTTTTAAGCTACAAGCAGTAATAAGAGCTTGTGCATCACTGTTGTTTGGACAGTACATTTGTCACAGACAAAAGTGTGCGCCTCATGTAAGAGCAGAGACCCATGTAACTAAGAACCTAGCCTATTTGAGCCTTGAGCAAATAACCTGGATCTGAAGCCAAAGTGACAGCCGCTACGCTGAGCACCACCACTGTGTTCGACATTAGCGTACAGTGATGAGACACGGTGCAGAGCCCCTGGGCTATCCAGCTAGCTGGTTGTGGCCCTTTTTATACCAAGTTGTGCTTATGCGTAGGCATCTATTAAGCAGAGAATGAGCATGCAAGCTTGTTTGGTCAAACAGCATGCTGAAGAAGAAGGTGTTTAGGCACCCGCTGTGTGCTCTGGTGCCGGCTGATGCGATTTCCACAGGGTATTTGTGTGTTAAGGGGTTTATGTGTGATATGTGATAGTTATCAGATTGTTTGCCATGTACTAGCTCTACCATGTGCTGACTGTGCATTAAATGTTGTTTCACACATGTCTTTTTAAATTACTTAAAGGTTCTATATGTAACTTTTTACATGTATAAATCGCTTTTTATCTCCCATTAATAAGCGAACGGTTAACTGATGTGAAAAAGTAGATGTTCACTGTTTATCTGTGTTGCCTGTATAAAAATTTTCCCCGGGTCGTATTTTTCGCGAAAGCTGCAGGAAGTGACATTTTATGCGCGTTCTCAACGTCCTCCTCGCTCCACTCTGCTTACAGAGATCAACAGTACAAACTCATCACACACTCCCGGTCTTCACCTGCACAGCCAGAGGCCGTCTTCCACACACTTCTATCCGCCCTAGGAGCTCTCAAAGCTCTCAAAGGCAGACAAACTCATCACACACTCCCGCTCTCAGCCAGGGCCTGCAGAGACTGTCGTTTGTAGGATGGAGAATGAATCTAATATGGAATCTGTTAGTACAAATATACGACCGGCCTCAAGCACAACACAGACTCCTTAACAGACTTTCACATGTGTATGACTACTTACCACCTCTGTAAACATTATGCCGGTAAATATCCAGTGTGTCACCGCCGATGATGATGCTCGTTTGTGTACGTCTGAGCACGTATGACGAGCACGTGAGCAACAGGTTACTGGTGCAGTTCGCCAAATGGCCATGCGGTATCGCTACAAACACAGTATTTTTTTAAAGTTACATACAGCCTCTTTAATATTTGACTTCAAGCACTGGCAGCTACAAACACACTGTTGATTTACCATCTGATGCTGTGTTTGTTTGTATGGGTGGTAGGGATTAGCACACAGACCCACTTTACACTCTTCCCTGCTGATAACAGCAAACACAATGCTCCTCATTTAACCTCTTAACCCTCTGGCTCTAGGCCTGACTAATAAATCCCAGAGTGAATGATGAATGGCTAGGACCGTTGAATGGATGTGTGAGTGATGGTTGCAGTGACCCATGCCTTCACAGGGATTAAGACAAGTCTCTACTTCTGACCTCAATTATGAAAGTAGGCTCTTGTATATTTTCTATTTGCGTTAATGCGGCTGGCTTTTCTCTA